TTACAAAGTTATTCAAGCCCCTGATAGGACTTCATCACGTATAAAATTCATTCACAAATAGGAAACAGTTTTCTCAAGGATTTTTCAACTTTCTTCGGTTTCCGTCTCTTCTACACTATTTTCATTAGTTCATAATCATTTTCTTAATTTTGTGTGATTTTGATTCTCAATAGAAAAGGGTAGCACATCATTCCATGAATTACTAGTTTAGTGTAAAAAGAATCCCTTTCTGTAAATGTTCATTTCTTATCAAATTTACATATCAAGACCTTTTCTTACTCTTCTTCTCACATAAAACATAAATTATCACATACACTTTTACTTCATTATCGAATTTCGGTAAAAACATGTTCCTGTCATATTCACAACATTTGTAGTCAATAGTTTGATGCGGGCAATCAACCCCAACAATATCAACATCACTTCATCTCTCTCTCTCTCTCTCTGTCTCTGTACAATTTCCTCTCTGAAGTATTAATCAAGTGTTGTAGTAGGCGTCACTCGTCAAAATGGATATAAGTACTCTATGCATTGAGAAGGAGGTAGAAATCATAAGCAATAAGTAGTAATGGATAAAGATTCTGTGGAGAGAAATGCAAGAGACAACACTGGTGTGTTATGAACAAGTCGAGATGATAGAAGCAGGAGAGAAAATGAAGCAGATTATGCAAATGAATGTCTTAGTGAGACATGTGCAATATTTGATGAATTCTGTACAGGATATCATTCATAAACATTCCTCTCTTCCTTCGTCTTTGTCTTCTCATTTCTACAGTGTGACGTTTCTTCTACTGGCTTCCTTGCCAGTAATCACCTCCGATTATACTACTAAAAGGTCCCTGTAATAGAGATCACTACATACAGGAAGACTTACAGACACAGAAGGCATTTCTTGTCAACTTACAAATCAAATTATATACCCTGTTATTACTCAAAGATGATAAAGTTGAAGGATAAATACTATTGTGATCATGTGAACACATTCAAGGAAATCGGAAATTGAAGTGTGCAAGAAAACCTGACTCACTCAGATCAAATACTCAACTACAGTAGCTACAAATCAACACAACACAACACAATAACACTCATATAAAAACACTGTCGAAAAGAGTGAAAACACATTGTAGTACATGAACACTGTGAGGAAAAGAAGAAAATGATTTGATGACTATTTTCCAGATGAAACGGTTATCCATACAACTTCATCAATACATGTTTTTACACAATCTGTCATCAATCAACAAGTTAAGGTCGGAAACTAATAAATAGATTGTCACACCATACATGAAGAAGATCTCCGAGGTCAAGACTAGATTACTGAAGCTATTTGGAATCGGTGTATTTCACAAGGGATATATGGAATAGAGTGGATACTGTCATCATATCCACCTACATGAACATGAACTAACAGTGAAGTGTTATGACATATCTTCACTCACATCGATACTGTGGATATGAATTCGAGTGTGAGAATGTGAAAAATGTGGATAGATGAGATGTGAAGAATATCAGAGAATATTTAGAAACTTTGTATTGAGGTGAGTAATTGATCAACAGAGAATGTTAACACTAACCGACTAGAAACACTAAGAAAAAATAAGAAGGTCAAAGTTCATGTCGTCATAACAACCAACTTTTAAGATACTTTTTAAATCAAAAAGTGATTGAAAGTATGAACAAAATAATGATGAAGTTCACGCTATTTCATTCACTGATATGAATTATAGACCACTGGATTTTCAATCAGTATTAACGTGTTAGCTGCAGAACCTTAAATGTGCCCATTTCTGAGTAGTCGCATAGTTAGACGAAACACCTGTTCAATCCTTGTAAATCTTCAAACTTTCGCCAATTGTAATAATGAAATTTTACTTGTTTTTAATATTTCCACTGAAAAGTACTTTTATTTCCATTCCTAGTGTGAGTATAATATAGAAAGTTAAACAATCTGTCATTTATTTAAATCACTTCAATACTGTACTATTTGTTCAATGTTCAAGGTCACCCATGAACTTTGTGTTGTTTAACTAAATCATTAAATTAATTTCTCTATGTGTACACATTTAATCTTTTTCAAATTTACTTCATAACAAGAAAAATCTAGCCATTTTATGCATAAATAATTATGCAAACCTATTGAATGTTTGAATTAAAGTCTTAAATCATGTAAAATATATTTTGTTTTAATACACTTCACTTCATTTGACTGGAATGAATTTAAATATGCTCTAATCAACATTTAAAATGAGTTTATTGAAATTTGAACAGTAAAACAATTCACTAAATTATTTGAATAACAATGAGAATATAAATTATATGCTGGTTTCATCGACATGTTTTACTTCGACTTAAATAATGAAAGTACACTGAATACCGATTTAAGAGAGAGAACAGGATAACTGTTTCCTTCTAGCATGCGGTTGATTAGCAGTAGGCACCTATGACTCATGAGAAATCTAATTATGCATCGTGATTGTGGTGGACTGGATCATACTACAAACTGTGAGGAGCGAGGAGAGGGGGAAACGTTAGACCAGAGAAAAGATCATAGAAGATTTGGATGTCGCCGATGATGATTCATGTCTAATGACTTGTCGCACAAACTCGAAGATCTACACATCAAAACTAACAAATTGACAAAAGAGGCAGTCAAGACGGGACTTGAAATGAACCTACAGAAGACAGAGGTGACGAAGATACCAAACCACCACCACCAACAACAACAAGCTGCAATCACCATAAACAAGAGAAACTTAAAGGAAGGAAGTAGCCCCTTTCACCTACCTACCTTCCTAGGCAGCATCGTTTGAACTACAGGCGCCGACTACGGCACAGACGAGAACGTCCAAGCAGTCAGGATTGAAAACACAGCAAGACAAGCGTTCATTAACCTGAAACCAGTGTGGAGGGAGATCTTCTGCACTCAGCATAAAGCATGAATAACATCCGCATTTTCAAAACTGATTCAGTCCACTCAGTGCTTCTATATGGTTCAGAGACTTGACGCGTTACGAAAGGTATTTCCAACAAACTATAGATATTCATCAACAACTATCGCCTACACTGGCTCGTTACCGAAGATCAGATGGTCAGAATAATAAGAATAAGCAACAAGGAACTCTGGTTGGCTAACAACGAACCAAATAAGACCCTATCGCTCAACAAATATGCAGTGTAAGGAAGTGGAGATGGATTTGGCGTACACTGAGAAGGCCGACTGGGGACATCACGCACCAGACCAGGCCAGGCACTCGAGTGGAAGCCAGATGGGAAACGACGAGTTGAGCGTCCGAGGTGTGGGTGACATGGAGGAGATTGTGTGAGGAAGAAATGAGAGCTTCTGCGGAGACGTGGATGCAGGTTCTGAAGACTGCAGAGAATGGAGTGTAATGGAGTCGTGCTACTGAATCCCTATGTTCCACCAGGAACCCATGAGACAAATAATAAAGAATATAATACTGACTATGAATTGATGAAAATACAATTTACTTAGCAACCATGCGCAGGTTCGTGTAGTAGCCAATCAGTCACATTTATTGTGTGAGGACGAATAACGCTTACTGCCCGGTTGCCCAAACCACAGTTAGCGAATCGACGTGTGAACCCATGACGACTCATTGGTTGAAATTCAACTCCCTAAATGAATAGGTCACAACTTCACTGTGAATCCAGGCCGAATAAATGGAAACCTTCTATTGAAATAATTTCTTAGCTTATTAATGAGATAAAAATATGAATTCCACAACCAGTTGTGAGAGTAGCTGAGTTGGCAGCAAGTAGATGGAGACTTTCATTAGGAACTGACACCAATATAAGCAATTTAGGAGAATGTACGACGACGTACAATTAATGATGGATCTTGGCTAGTTGTGGAATCCAGGATGCGCATTTCGTCTTATTTGGGACTCCTCAGCTGAATGTACCTGCTTCACAGTAACTGATGTTGTTCCCACTGAGATTCAGAAGCAGGAGTGATCGCTTCAAACGCTAGCGCGTTATCCACTACACCACACAGCCACGATAACCACTTCTTGTGCCACGCGTATACTTTTTACTATAATTGTTTGTATATGATACCGTCGTTGATTGGACAGAATTGATCGGTCGGTTTCGATTGGCATATGGGCTCCTGTGAAGATGCCTCGATAATGTGAGTGTTCTAATTATGTTAATAATGGGTCGGGGCTAGCAATGGTTGACGTTGGGAGTGATTGCTCCGGGGTTCGAATCCCGGTGGGGACAACATCACTCACTGGGAAGCAGGTACATTCAGCTGACGAATCCCAAGTTGGATGAAATGCGCATCCTGGATTCCACAGCTAGCCATGATCCATCATTAACATAATTGGAACGCAGGTAATATAGAGGCGTTTGCACATGAGCCCATCTGCGAATAGAGACCGATCAATTGAGTCCAATCAGCGACGGTATGATACAACGTACAATTGTTCTGGTAAGATTTGTAAACTTTTGATGATTTCACATACTAAAATATTTGCCTTTATTCTATATGGTAGACAAACTACTGATGTTCTTCGTCTTATTTTCATCTTCTTAATCTCTACTTTAATGTCTTTTTCTAAAAATATACCTTCAACCTAAGGTTTTCACAGAATTCTTGGACAGATTAGATATACTTGTTGATAAGTGAACTCCCCATCAATAATCTCCAAGTGACTTGCTTCGAGATGAGATTTATCAAGGCTTTAATGGCAAGCTGTAACCAGTAAGGTAAACAACGTCGGACACGATGATGGGTACTCAACGATGACAATGGATAAAGGTCGCGCTGTCATGAAGTGACAGAATAAGTAGAATGTTAACCATTAGATGCTGATCCGTTGGCTCAATAGAAACATGATGGCCAAGGCACCTGAGGTTTCCGGGTGCGTACAGCTGAAGAGTACGATATTTGAACGAAACATCTATCCATGTCAGTCAAAAGTCCCTCAAATTAAATCTCCAAGTAAACAGTTTACAAATAATATGAAATCACTTACAATTAACTTCATTATTGAACGTCCATCTATTGGTCGTGTTGTCGCAAAACCATACAGTAAAAGGAAGACAATATTCCCGATAGCTGATGTTGCACCAATTGCAATTAAATACTGAAATCCAATTTCATTATAACCTCTACCAGCTAGTGCAATACAAATGATACCAATAATCTAAGTTTTTAGAAGAAAGAGAGAGGCAGAAAGAAAGGAAGAAACCAACTGAAACTAGTTTCTTTGAGAAAGTCATAAACTGTGATAATAATAATAATAATAAAAATATATTGAAGACTTATATTTCATCAGTTCCTAGACTTCCAGTAATCTTTATTGACTGAGACGTATTCATGTTGTTGTTCCTCACAGCTTAGTAGTTTTTCAGTTGCCATCCAACTGAGATGTCAATAGAGTATCCTTTGGAAACTACTTGTCAGTTAAAGTCCCAAAGTCTGTGATCTTTGACACAAAAAGTGTCATAAAGTAATGAAAGATACTACTTAAGTTGTTCAGAATTAATATCTTTCTCTAGGATGAGACAGTAGCTTCTTCTTAAGAATAGGTGAATAGTTTTAAATGAACAAATTTGCAACAAAGGGGAAGAAGATTAGGAGAATGAAACAAACTCATCTGGTTTCATAACTTCTTATCAGTAGTAAACAGCTTGAAATCATAATGTTCAGTGGATGGATAACTGATGTAGCTACCAAGATCCAGGTACTTAGTAGTCATTGGGACCTATTGGTCACATCTGAAGTGTCGCCACCTACCTTAGAAACGTTACTCTATTGCACAATAATGTAAGAAATTAGATGGCATTATAATACATTCCATACACGTTTACTAATTAGAAATACCGAACAAATGCTCATTATCCACAAGATGTCTGTCAGTTTCATAGATGAAACCTTCGCTTTCCTTTACTTTAAGCACAAAAGCACCAGAATATGTTTAACAAACCACTTGGAGTCTTTTCTACAACTACTTCTAATATTCCTGTTATTGTACATGCATATAGACTCATCAATGTGATAGGAAATGACCATCAGTAGAGTATTTGATCACTTTAGAACGATATCAGATATGGGGTGATATCAGCTTGACTGTAAGGTAATTGGCCCATTAGTTAAAAGTTATCCATCTACTGACATTACAGTACTTTGAACTGCTTAAGTGATATATTATTAGCTTACAGTAACAACCATTCTCTTTCTCTCTTTATTTTCCAAACCACAAATCATCCAGAGTATACAATTCCCGTTCAAATGACCGTCTTTTATGTATGTTTATTAATCACTGAAAGAGGATGTAACCAACTTCATGTTATATAGTAGTAGTTCTAAGAGTGTTGATCAATTTCTATCGATTTTTTTTGGAATGCGTGATTAGCAAGCTAGGAGACTGATCATCATGATGTATCTCTACATCATCTAATCTTAAAAAAGAGGTCCATGTTGACCCAAAAATCTTAATGACAATATTTTCGATTGAATAATATAGCTTAGAATCTCTAGGAGAACATCAGTTCCATAGAGATTGGTTGTAGAGATATACTTTATTGATGAGTACTAAAAAGTGTGATGAATCTAGGATCAAGAACTTCTTGTCAATTACATTCATCCAACTAATTAACATCGATTTCATTCTTTATCAATATAAGAATCTGGCTATATTACTGTGTCAACAGTCCAATAATGAAGAACTACAGAAAAAGGAATGGTCTAAAGCAGTAGAAAAGAGTAAAAGAGGAAGGAAGGAGGAATAAGACAAATCATGAATTCAGTATATAGATACATTTGTGCTAATATTGTGCAACTAGGTAGACGGTGAAAAAGTGTTCATAACACATATTCTCAAACCGCATCTGAGTTACTGAAGTTTCATAACTTCAACTCTTACTCTTTTTCTATCAACTTGTCCTACAGCGTTTATGTCCAGCGTTTTACGTTGAATTCTCCTTGACTGTCTGTATGTATGTACGAAGGTGGGTAGTGGTCAAACATCTAAAGTGTCTTCTCGTATTTTTTTACCTTTGGAATCGAAATGAACTCATCAACCTTGTGTATACTCCTGTGTAGATTAATAATCAATACCTTGGTAGGTGTAGTGGGGTTCGAACCAGTGATCCATTAGTTAAAAGTTATCCAATAAGCCATAACTTCACTTTTATAGTAACCACTTCTACATATCTATATGTTTGTTATAACTAGTAGTGATGGTATGCATAGTCTGAGTTACATTCTCTCATCATTTCCATTTAAACAACTAACTGTGAAATAATAATCACCCTTTATATGTGTAATTAATTGGTAGTAATAGTAAGGCTTTAGTGAAATTATAATATGATTCAGTCAGTCAATTCATTAGTATTGATACTTGACACTTGAGTTGCTACAAGATTCGAATCAGTTGCCATCAGGTTCCCCCATTGGTCGAGTACCTCTACTCCAAGTGACCTATGAGATATTTATTCCACCTTGAATCATTAGCCAGTATCAATAATACAATTCTAGCAAACCACGGTCTAGAATATACTTAACCTAATCACTTGGAGTCTTTTCTACAACTACTTCTAATATTCCTGTTATTGTACATGCATATAAACTCATCAATGTGATAGAAAATGAGCATCAGTAGAGAATTTGATCACTTTAGAACGATATCAGATATGGGGTGATATCAGCTTGACTGCAAGGAAATTGACTTTCAGTGTTCTTATCACACTTGCTACTTTCATCTTCATTGAATACAAGATGAACAGAAACTGTTTTATTCCCCACAATTGGGTGCTTAGTCTTCCCCATTCGTTGTTTTCATGAATTATGATAAGCCTATTGAAGTAGAGTGTCACGAAAAGCACTTCCAACAAACTACAGATATACATCAACAACTGCCGCCTACGAGGGCTCCATACTGAAGATCAGATGGTCAGAATAATGAGAATAAGTAACAAGGAACTCTAGCAACGAACCGACCAAGAAGCCACCACGTCACAAATATTCAGTGTAAGAAAATGGAGATGGATTGAACATACACTGAGAAGACCATTGGGTGACATCACGCGCCAGATCAGGCCAGATCGTAGAGTTGAATCCAAAGCGGGAAATGACGAGTTGAGAGTCCCAACTGAGGGTGACATGGAGGAGAACATGTGAGAAAGAAATGACAGCTTGTGGGCAGTCGTAGCGTCAGGTTCAAAAGACTGTAGAGGACAGAATGCAATGGAGGCGTGCTGGTGAATCCCTATTTTCCACTAGGAACCCAAGGGAATAATAAATAATAATTTTGAGGTAGCTAGTATCACTGAAAACATTTTCACTCCTATTTAAGCCTCCTCTAAGCTTGTAATAATAACATTCTTATCCCACAACATTTTCAACATCATACTCTACAATTAATGAACATTATATTGTTGCTTGCAATAATCAGTTTTTTCTTCGGTTCCTGATGGAAACAGCATCACTCACTAGGTGGACTCAGCTGATGACGTCGAAATAAGACGAAACATACGTTTCAAATTCCACTGCTAGTCACCATCCATCCTCACCATACTATGTATATATACATATATGCTTACATGTATAGTGTTATCATTTTGACCATCCGACTGCAACAAGATTCGAACAAGCGACCACCGGGTTTACAAATTTTTATTTCACCTTTATTCATCACCCAGTACAAATACTAGTCTGCCAAACTACGGCTATCTCACTCAGGTAGTCAAAATGATAATTAATATGATGCTCACCCCTCCCTCTCTGATTCAGTTAGATTTAGATTAGGATGAGAATCCCTAACTAGGCGGCCAGTGTGAATACAATCCAGCAGTGGTAAGACGTCACGAATTCATTTGGTAGTCAGGTAAAACCCTTGGTGAAGTAAGAATCTGGTGAACAGTTGGACCTCGTAGCTCTTAGTTGTTAGAATATCGGGCCAGAAACCCGGTGGTTGCTTGTTCGAATGCGACCGTGGTCCAAATTTTCATTTCAAGTTCAATCATCATCCAGTATCAGTATACAATGTCGTTCACAATTCTACAATCATACAAGCGTAACAGGCTTCAATGTCTGTTTCCTTTCATGATCAGTCTATATGACCCTCAACTTAATGAGCTTAGGTACTATAATGTGGCAGAAATATGTTTGAAGATTTTAGTGGCAAACTGTGTGTAACCAAGCCAACCTATCACCTCAGACTTTCGGCGTAGTTCGGCAGACTGATCGACTCATCGACACGCAGTGATGATTGTAAGTCATGTGAAAATCTTTTTTTGTCACGGGATCTGGACTACTTGGGTCTTGTAATTCAGCTGATAGATCAGTGGAGTGGTAACTCAGAGGCTGGCGGTTTTAATCACAGAGCAGTGAAGGTTTACATTTTACCTTCAATCATTGTCCAGTATCAGTCTGTCTAATTAGTTAATTTTCGCTTCATCATAGACTACCTTCAGCTGAAAAGCCATTGTGGACCTGGAAGCACTAGACGGCTGTTTCGTCCTAACACAAGACTCCTCAGCGTAAAATTTGAACGGTAAAATCACACTCATTTGCCTATTTGCAGTTCAAAAGCACTTCATGAGCTCAGTGACATCACTACTCATCATTTAATTCTCAGGAAGTGGTTAGTTAATCTTCTAACCAATTGAAAATGGCAATTGTGATGGATAATGGCTAGCAGTGAAATTTAGGATACACGTTTCGTCCTACTTTGTACTCACCAGTCGGATGCATCTGTATCAAAATGGGTGATGTTGTTTCCACTGAGATTTGAACACAAGACGAATTGCTTCAAATCCTAAAACATTATCCAATAAGTCACAGAGTCATGACAGCTCATCACTGACGAAACCGAAGTGATCAGCCACTACTGGTATATTGGCTTATGCGAGTACACCACGACAATACTTGTAATTTCAGTTTGATAATAATGATAAACAGATTGCTTCCATCATAATGATTCAGAAATAATCAAGAAAGTTTTTCTAAGATCATAGGTTGAAACAAAGGAGAGCGTATGAAAAGGCTTGGTATTAAAACTGAATACGATTTTACATATGACCTTTTTGTTTGAACAGTTGTACACAATGACCTTGGAATTGAAACCTTCATCACTTAGCGGCGCTATGAACCTGAATCAAAATATTTTGAAAGATATAAACAGCTGAATTTATAAACAGT